AGGTTTAAAGACAAGCAAGCACAATTCCAACTGAATAAGACAAAAAAAAAATGATCAAGGAACAAATTTTTCATCTTGAGATAAACACACAAAATATGCATAAATAGCAGCAAATATGCAGGTACACACAACCAAAGGCTATTTCGCCTCCTTCTTATTATACAGAACGCCACAATTGCATCTTCATTCAGAAATAACCTTCATGTGACAGATGGAATGAGCTGTGACACTGGGTCTGATCAGAGCTTTACACAAACGCATACACACACACACATGCACACACAACCACACGCACATTCCTTTGTGACCTGTGTGCATGACACCATCGGCGGAGAGTAATTGACCAGCCAAGATTCTAAATTCTGTATTTGTGTCTGTGCACATGAGGGTAAATGCTGTTTGCGTGTTTGTGTGCCTGCATGTTGTGCGCCTGACAGTCTTCACTTCCACATTAATGTTAACTGACACTTTAATTTGGATGGGAAATAGAGCATTTTACCACCAGTTTGTCTGAGCACCGAGTGGCAGGACTGGCTGTGTGACCTTTGCCTGTGTTTGTGTGCGTGTCTTTGTATGTGTGTATCTCTTTGTCTGTCAGGCAGCTTGTGCGTCCCTCTCTCTCTGCATCGTCTGCCTGTTTTTTTATCATGAACAAGTTCTCACATAATGCTCTTCTCTTCACGGTCTCTTCAAATCATCTCACACTTTTGCACTGCAGTTCTAACTTTTCCACATAATTAAAGCGACTCTTCAATCTAAACACTGTCCTTAGAATCAACATCTAAGGACAGAAGAAACACCTTCTTTTTGGATAGATGTGTTATATTTTCCACCTTTCTTTTTCTGTCTTTGTTTTCTTCAAATTGGGTCTCACTGCTTCCATATGACCACTTAATTACAACCAAATGTTGTATATGTTCTTTTATTTTCTTGTAGCTTTCACCCTCTCGTGAATCACAACACGATAAACACTCTTCTCCCTTTTTCAGGTCCTTTTCATCACTTGAGGAGATGTGGCTCTGATTACTCCTCTCATCTATCGCATCTCCCAATCAGAGTAGAAGAGATGATGAAGAGGTGGAGGAATTGCTTTGGATGACATCATTACATGCCGTATACATAAACAACCAAAACCAAAGCGGTTTGACATGCATAGCACTAGATAGACTCACAATAGCTGATGTGAACAGTACACTCTCTTACACACACACACTTGCATACAAATGTGGACACATGACAAAAAACATTTGACAACAAATCACATGACATTTTTTGGTCAAGTGTTAAAATGGAACCTCAAAAATTACTCTTTGCTTAGAAGATAGGAGGGACAGATAGTGGACGATATAGGCACGGTGCTTTTAAATATGACAACAGTTTTTTGTATTGTTTTAATTACCTTAACCAGACTGCTAAAAGGCTATTTTTACTATGATATGATATAATATCTTATATTTGTTAAGATGCACTGCCTTGTGGCGACAGAAAAGCAACAACCTAGGAAAGGCAAGGTATACAGAAGAGCATCTCTGAACACATGTTAAACCTTGAAGTAGATGGGTGATAGCAGCAGAAGACCACACCAGGTGCCACGCCTGTCAGCTAAAAGCTAGCAGGAGGGGCACCTTACAGTTTGCATGAGCTCAAAATTGGAAACTGGAAAATAGAAGATCATAAAAATGTTGCCTGATCTGATGAGACTGTTTCTGTTGCAACATTTGGATTGCTGGGTCAGAATTTGATGTGAACAACATAAAGCATGGATCCATCCTGCCTTGTACCAAAGGCTCAGGGTGCTGGTGGTATAATGGCGTGGTGGAAAATTTTCTTGGCACAGTTGGGCCTCCTAATATCAACTGAATATAGCTGAGCATCTTTTAAATACCACAACCTACCTATAAATACATTATACTACCTAGAATAGTACTGATGCTGACTACGTTCATCCCTTTATGACCACATATTTGATTGGCTGCTTCCGGCAGGATAATGCACCATGTCACAAAGTTTAAATCATCATGAACTAGTTTTTTGTGTATATACCTAAGTGCATAAACAAAGATGGGTTAATGTGAAGATATAAATTATTAGTTAGTAAAGACCAGTTGCATAATTCATCTTTATGCGGTCGATAACTATCTGGTTTCATAATGGGTAGTTATGCAAGCACAGGCCTTAAAAAATCAATCAGTGTTAATAGAGTTCTTATTATCCCACTGCAGCAAAGATTCTAATTATCAAAACCTCAAAGCACGCGAGTGTGATCTTAATTGCATGTTGGTATACGTGTGTGTCTAACACGTCTACGCATGTCTATATCGACACACCGCAAACCCTCCTGTCTTGACGTGGCATGATGCTGAAAGCATACATGTGTACATCTGAAAAATTAGATTTCTTTATGTGATTCAATTGTGTCTGATCCCAAAGTTAATGAGTTAAATATCTGCAGGCTTCTAATAACCACATACCTGTCATACCACATCTTCTAGGTTTATTAACTCTCTGTATTACTCTTAGGGCTACTAGCTGTAGTATAAAAAAGGACAGTTGTAATTTTAATTATCCTTAATTGCTACAATTCTAATACAATAAACTTAACAAAATGTAGCACACCGCATTATGTAGAAACAGAAGTGCAAAGCTCTCATATTAAAAGGCAAAGCCCAGTTCCCTGTGCTCATCAACTCGACTCAGCATGTCAATTTCCAACACAGAGCAATAAACACTGGGGAGGATTTTCAATCAGTCTGTAATAGACAAACTCCATCAGGAGTGTAGCAGAATCGCAGGTGAAGACAGAGCCAGTTTTGCATTACGAGTTATACGTAGTCCTGCTAAATAAATTGCTGGCATTTGACCCTGATTTGGTCAAAGAATACCTGAAACTCAACTAAACAGTTTCCAAATGTATGAATACAACCTACATTAAAAAAAAAACAGTAAAGGGACTATATAATATCAACATATTTGTCTAAATCCTTTCTGATCACATCTGTATTAGAATTCAACCAACATGTGGTTTTGTCTACATCACACATGCAGGTACTTTCCTGTCAGGCACACATAAAGAATAAAAATCGCGAGGCGTCAGTGGAATGTAGAATATATGAAAATGAGAGAAATAAAAAGAAAGGCTGTCAAAGATATCTATCCAACACTCAGGCTTATAAAAAAGTACTTCTGCTTTTGACAACTTCATTTGCTGAGGCGGACAGCATTATCTTCAACAAACCAAAATGAATAGACCTTGATATAGTGATATAACTACGCTATAAAATTCACTTTTACATACAGACTAGTCAAACAGAGACACAATAACACAAGCATATGTCCTCATATTTTAT